TTACACACACACGCACACACACACACACACAGCCTAAACAGGTACCAAAACTATGATAGCCCTGGAGCTTGTAGTCAGTGAGAGGGGGCGAACAATGCAAGAAAAAATGAGAAAAGCCACAGCCCCACACCTCAAGGGCCATGGCTGAGGGTGTGGTAATTGCTCTGTCACAAATCGCCTCAACACCACCCATCAATTACTCTGGCTCTCAGTTAACTAATTAAATTCTGCATCATTCCACATAAGTCCATAAGAAGGGGTGTGTTGGATCAGACCAAGGTCCATCTTTTGCCACATTCTGTTCCCACAGTTGCCATAGTATCTACATTCCAGGTGTGGGCAATTTCACTACTGCCCTAGTTCCCTGGACATTTGGAAAGTCCGTTTCCTCCCCTCCTCTAGATAGGCAAGATTATGATCATGCTCTTTGATTGCTGGCCTGCTAAATGTTATGGTTTGATCCTAAGAACTGTCTTGCTGGATCAGGCCAACTATCTATTTAGCCATGAGCTTCATTGCCTTGTAGCCGCAGAAGCAACGAAGTGTTGACAGTATTTTCCCTTGGCTCTTTCTGTTTTTGTCAGCATCTTTCACCTTATTGCTTGCTCTTCTTGCGAGTCAGGAGCAAGGGATACAAGATCTGGACTCCTTTCTGGCTGAAGGATCAATGACTAGTGGGAGATGACATCCTCCTCCAACACAGCAAGAACTTCAGCCTAGGTTGTCCTAGCTCCAGCTATTGTCCAAAGAATCCACCGCCAGAGAGAGCTTGCATGCGTCACCTTCCTTCCAAGAAGAGAATCGTGTCTGCCAAAAGCTCAGCTCTTCATTCTGCCACGACTGGACTTCCCCATTGACTTCACTTCCCTTCCCACACATGCATAATAGTCTCTTGCACTGCAAGTCTGAGGGTAGGTTCTGGGTCTTTCTTCCAGATAAAATTGTGAGAGCCACTGTGGTGTAGTGGTGGGGACTAGATCCAGGGCCTAGATCTCACTTGGCCAAGAAACTGGCTGGGTGACCTTGGGCCAGCCACAGACTCTCAGCCCGACCTACCTCTTGGAGCTGCTTGTGAGGATAACATGGAGCTAAGTATGGGATGTGAGGATATGGGCTAGTGTAGTGGCAGCTTGTTTGCTGTTTAGTCGCAAAGTCGTGCCCGACCCATCATGGCCCCATGGACCACACTCCTCCAGGCTCTCCTGTCCTCCACCATCTCCTGGAGTCCACCCAAGCTCACACCCACTGCCCCAATGACTCCATCTAGCCACCTCATCCTCTGCCGTCCCCTTCTCCTTTTGCCATCAATCATTCCCAGCATCAGGGAGAGGCATGTAAATTCATTAAATAAAGATGGATGGATGGATGGATGTCAAGACCCAAGGCAGCTTCAGGTCTCCCTCTGCTGGCCAAGCACCAACATAGCAGCCCTGGTAATTGCAGGATTACCACACCCATCTACTGCAGTTGCCAGAGCTCTCATGAGCAGCACCTGGGAGCCGTGGAGGAAGAGCTATATAAGAACTGGATCTTCCCTCCAGATGCTGCCTTGGTGATGAAGGTTTGCTAGCTTGTTGGAGAGCTCCTTGTTTTTTTGGACTCTGCTTGTGATTCTGTTCCTGGACCCTGCCTGGCTCCCTGACCCTTGCTTGCTCCTCCTCCTCCTCCTCCTCCTCCTCCTCCTCCTCCAGCTCTCAGGAACCTGCTCCCTCTCAGCATTGTCTCCTTGGTTTCCAGACTTCCGGCTTGTTTGACCATGCTTGCTTCTTGGAATGACTCTACCTTGCGCTCCTACTCCTGGCTCTGACCTTGGACTGTTTAAATATGATTTGGACTTGATCTTGAGCCCTAACCTGCTTGCCTGGGCCCTGGCGCCCCTGCCAGTTTGTCAGTTGCACATACCCTGAATGCTGATGATAGATAGAGAAGACCTCCTTGAGTTCCTCACAAGAAGAAAAATGGCAGGATGTCTGTGCAGTGTAATAATGATCATAATAGTAGCAATAAGCACAAAGATCAAGACCTGCACAAGAGCTAACTAAGACAAGCAAGAAATGAACTTTGCACCGTGTTCCTTCATGGGTCCGTTGCACTTCTGATACCCTTGTGTGTGCAAGACGTGATGGAGCAGCTGCCCCCACTGGATGCAGAGAGATGAAGCAGAGAGCTGGGTGGCTCTCCCCACCCTTGCAGTGGTCAAGAAGTTCAGGGCACCTGTATTGTGGCATGTCAATGAAATGCTGCAAGTCCGCATAGATGCGATTCATCCCCACAGATTCATTCCCACAGATGTGATTCATTCCCACAAATGCCGTGCTGCGCCCTTTGACCCACCTGCCTAAGCAATCTTGGTGCCCTCCAAGTGGCTGGAGGAGATAGTACAGAGCCTCGTTTTTCCACCAGCCTCACGCTGAGCTTGGCATGGGTTGCCTCAAACAAACCAGAACTTCATAGCTAACCTCTGTGGACCAGGGAGGTCAGAACTGGAACATCTTCTTTGCTCCAAAATTTAGGAGGAAGGCCTGTTACAGTTAGGAGCTGAAAATGTAGGTCATATTCACCACAGCTTATCTAAATGTATTTGGCAGGTCAGAGGATTCTCAAACCATGCCTTCCCATAATTTGATATTGTTTGCAATGGGGTTCCCCACCACCACTAATTTCATTTTCCACCAGCTTGCACTGCTATAATGCTGTTAGATTTAGGATTCAGATAAAGCAGAAGGTGTAAAAGTAATGATTTAGGCAAAATGCCAGCATTCTCGAGCTCATGTGGTACAGGCAAGGACTGAAAACCCCAAGCCACTGCGGGCAATTAAAAGATGAAATTGCTTTAAAAATAAATTCTATCAACTTTTACAAGGCTGATTGTAAACACCATTGTAAATGGTGATGACACCATTCCAAAAGTAAAAAGTCTTTTGAAAACTCAGGGGAAATTGCTGTGTGCAAGGTATTAAGCCAGAAAACTTTCTGCAAAATAGTTCTATGAGCCTTTTGTTCTCAAGCTATTTCAAAGGGTTTCCAAAAAGGAGTCAGAGTCAGAAATGAGTGATGTGATTTTCTGCAACATACTGAGCTTCTTTCAAAGTCCTTGCTTTAGATTTAATTTAAAATGGATCTTTTATGTGTTGTTTTCGCATGTTGCTAGCTTCCTAGTCTCTTTGGCCTGGGGTGAGAGTTAGCAGGGTCATTCTGCCCTGAGAGAGTTCCTACTAAAGGAGGCAACATTCAGAGGGTTTTCCAGGTACATCTTTTCCCATCACAGTGATGTAAAAAACTAAACCCAGCATTTTCTTCTCTTTCATAAAGGAATGGAAGGCCATTCAGCATCTTGATCTGGCTATCTTATATGGAGAGGCATCCTAAATAAATAAAATGAAAATGTAAGAAAGAACTGCACATTTCTTTATACCTACATGTTTTATTTTATTTTTTACTGAACTTATATTCTTTATTACTGAACTTATGCTCACTCATAGGGTGAATGCCTTAAGTAGAGAGCTCTGTTACCTTGCCCAGTTTCTGACCCCAGGATGAGGCACTGGGAGAGATGAACTGCCCAGTTAGAGGGCTTGTGGGGCTCTCTGTGGCTGGCCCTTTGCCAACAGAAGCAACCCTGAGGGCCAAGCCCACAGAGTCACTGAGAGGGGAGGATCTGGGGGGAAAGTTCCCAGCTTGGTGCTTCAACACTCCCAGTTTAGGTTCAACACTCTTAACATGAGCCCAGCTGACTAGTGGGCTTTTAGAGTTGCTCCGTCTTGTAGCTGCCAAATGCCGTTAAAGATCTGCAGTGCAAAAAGATGTTTGGCATTTTGGAACCTCAGGGCAAGGCCCAGGACTGCAGAGTTTTCCTGTTTTTCTATGGTGCCATTTCTCTCCGGATTCAAAGTCCACATAAATACCAGTTTTGCATTTCTGAACTCAGTTACCCAAGCACCAGAAGAACTGTGGACTGAAACCAAAAATGTTATTGAGGAAAAATGGCAAAAAGGGGATTGTGGGGTGGGGAGGAGTCTAGATGGATGACAAAAGAAACACAATTGGTAGCCAATGTCCCTCTTGCGACAGCTGGCCCTGCCTTCAAGGGTCTGCATCTTTGTTGACTGGCATCTTTTTTATTTTCATTGTATTGTATTTTGCAAAACAACACCTAAATCACACATTGAAGAGACAAAAGAAAAGGTAAGGGGAGTGGGCTAGAGGGGTCACTAAGATTTTAAAAGATCCCTGACACAAATTGCGAGTACATTGAACTTAAAAACACACTGCTGTTTTTAAACATAACAGTGCATATACCTCAACCAGGGCAGCCTAAGCATCCCTATAGCTACCCATTTGCAAATTATACTTAAAGACCAGCTGCTCAGAAAGCAAAAGTTTCTTTAAATCCCTCACCCTCTGTGTTATCACAGGCATCTGTCCCTGACTTAGCATCACTCTGATGCATGGTGGGAAATTTAACATGGCAGCTGATCCACACAGCCTTTGGGTCCAAGGACCCTTGGAGCACTCCAGTGCTGGTGAATCTTGCCAGCGTCTGGAGGTTGGGGTGCCTAGTGGTGTTTGCCAGTCCAGTCCAGTCCAGTCCAGTCCAGTGCAAGTGTCCTATTTTTAACTCCACATCTAGGGAAATTGTGCCATTTTACTCAGTTTTTAGAATTTTCAAATTATGGTACTTTTAGCAACCAATCACACCAGAATCTGGGACTGAAGGAAAGACACAGCTAACTCCCAATGATTACCCACACACTTATGAGGCAGACACATGGGTTTTGCTTGCATCAGGCAGAAGAATAGTTTATTAAACAGAACATAAGCAGAATGCCCACCATGCCAGTTAACTACGTGCCCTGCAGGGCAGCCCATGGTGGCATGTTGGTATTTTAGCATCCAGTAGCTGGAAAGAAGATCGCTCTTGCTTGGTGATACCCAGAAAGTTTACAGAAAAAGAGTTGCAAAGTCTGGGTCTGCAGAAGATGCCATTTCCCTTCCAAAGTCTATCTGCCGTACCCTGGAGGGAGAAGAAAAGAGAACATTTCCCTTATGAAAACAGGAAGAATATTTCAAGCTACTGGGTGTAACCTCCTTTACCTTAACAAAGCTGCTGAGCAAATCACCTGGTAAGAAGCAGAAAGAGCCAGAGGGCACATGCAAAGAGTGACAGTTCAATTGCTTTTAAAAGACTGCTTCAACCTATAATACTTATCAATATACTATAAAGCAAAAAGAAGATGAGAAAGGGTGGGATAAAGAGCTAATGCATCTGGCTCATGGCATCATGCCATACATGCCTCCTTGGAAGTAAGTCTCTGTGGGGTGAATGGGGCTTGATCCCAATTAAGCCTGACAGGAGCCAGATTGCATTGCTTTTGGGTGCCATCTAAGTGGGGGTGAAAAGTTAATCCCTGCCAGCTCTGGCCCTATTCATTCTAAAAGGAAATGAATTGAATGAGCTTAGAGTGCTGCCAGGCTGGACCGGAGCACAAAGATGAATGGGACCCAAATGCAGGCAGAAGGGATGGGGCAGGGCGAGTGGCTGAGCTCCTTGATGGCTAGTCAGTCACTCCCCGGGTTTCAGAGCCTGGGCGGCTCTTTTTCCAGATGGCATTGCTCCTCCTCCAACTGTCTCCCAAGGAAGATGCCATTTCCTTCCTCTACGTTGCAAGCCAAGTTTTTCAGAAGGAGCAGATGCTATTCCATTTGTAGGAACACAGAACTTCCTTCTTACCTTTGACCTCCGTCTGGCATTTGGAAGACGAGAGAGTGCAAGTGCGGGTGTTTTTCAGCCCCCCTCCTGTCTGGCTGCAGATTCCTCCTGAAGGACGGCAACTGCCGGGGCCACTGAGGCAGAGAGAGGGGAAGGGTTATGAAGGCGCCTCCAAGAAGGCACCTCAGATGCAGTGGTGGTTTCTGAAGCTGCCCACCTGTGCTGCTCTGTGTTGCACGAAGGGGAGTTGGGGGGCTGGGGAAGGAGACAACGTGGCGACTCCCCAAGGTCAGCAAACCAACTAAGCTACCCTCATCAGCCAAATAGCCAAAAGTGGGCTGGATGGAACAAATATCAGATGGATCCTGAGTTGGCTAGGGAATTGGGCTCAAAGGTCTCATCAATGGGACCTTTTCAGACTGGAGAGAGGTAACCAGAGGGTGCCACAAGGTTCAGTCTTGGGCCCAGTGCTCTACGACAATTTTAGTGATGATTTGGATGAGGATGTGCTGGGAACAATGATCAGATTTGCACAAACAAGATTCAAGGGGATCTTGATATGCTGGAGCACTGGGCTGAAAACCACAGAATTAGATCTAATAGGGTCAAATTCCAAGTTCTCTCTGTAGGAAAAAGAAACCAAGTGCATAACCACAAGTAAATGCTATTTTAGGCTGCATTAATAGAAGTATCATTTCCAAATCCCATGAAGTACTAGTTCCCTTTACTCAGCACTGGTTAGGTCTCATCTGGAGTACTGTGTCCAGTCCTGGGCACCTAACTTTTAAAAAATGAAGAAAAGCTAGAAAGGGTACAGAGGAGGGCAACAAGGATGATCCAGGGACTGGAAGCAAAGCCCTTTTTGGAGAGATTGAAAGAACTGGGTCTTGAGAATGATAGCACTCTACAAGTATTAGAAAGGCTGTTACAAAAAGGGAAGGACAAAAGCTCTTTTAGATCATCCCAGAATGCAGATAAGGGATAACAAGTTATAGGAAGCCAGATTCCAGCTGAACATCAGGAAGAACTTCCTGAGTGTTACAGCACTATGGCAATTAACCCGTTACCTGGGGAGGTGCTGGCTTTCCCATACTAGAAGCATTCAAGATGCAGCTGGACAGCCATCTGAGAGGATAGGTTTATCTTAGAATCCTGCACTGAGCTGATGGCCTTCTTGGCTCCTTACAACTATGCTATTCTACAATTTTAAGAAAACCCTCCCATGTCAAGCCAAAGTCCAACCTGGGCCAGCCTCCTTTGCCCAGAGTGTTCAACCAGTGCTGTGGGGATATTTAAAAAGGACTGTCTCATTAATAAACCAAAGTGCTCACAAATTAAAGAGTTGCTAACATTCAAGTCAGCTCAAAGCAAAGCTGTTCCATAGATCTTTCACAAGAGGTTAACCACCAGTACTAGGGAGGACTATTGGGACTTGATGGGAATTGTAGGACTTAGTCTAAATATGCACCGGATGGAGCCATAAGGTATTCTGGTCCACCTACACAATGTCCTGCTGTCCTCCCTCCAACAGGCAGCGGTACGTCTGGATCTCCTGCTCCAGGCGGCATTTGACATCCAAGAGCTCCCTGTACTCCCGGTTCTGGCACTCCATCTCCGCTCTCAGGTCTGCCAGCTGCTGCTCCACACAGGAGATCTGCTCCTGGATCTCGGCCAAGTGATTGTTATAGCGACACTCGGTCTCAGCCAAGGAGTCTTGCAGCGTGTCCCTCTAAAAGATTCAAAAAGCAAAGCAAAAGTCTCAGCAATTGAAGAGTGGTGCTGAGACTTGCAAGAATACATCCTGCAGATTCTCTGGAAAAGGAGCTGTGAAGCCAGCCCAGCTCTGCTCCATGCTAAGCGGACAGATGCTGCAGCTTGACCTGCTCATAGCTCACAACCAATACACTATTATCGTGCAATTCCACATGTGAGAACACATGTAAGGCAACAACAGCAACTACAGATAATTCCCTAGAATACGTCTGATTCTCCTTTTCTTCCTTGATTTCAGCTCAATTGTCCTCTGTTATTCCAGCCATGTTGCAAATTCCCTAACTTTTGCTCTACCGTTTTCTTCCTGACTTCACCCTTTTTCTCTATCATTTAACCATATGCAGGCATTGCTTATCAAAATAGAAACACCCGAGTGCCATGCAAAACCATGAAGCATAAGATCATTATTAATACTGAGGAACGTTACTGTATGCAGAAGACAAGGTCATCGCCCTGGAAACGCTTGTTGGAGAAGTATGTTTTCAGCAGGCGCTATAAATGCAGCAGCACTGGCGCCCATCTAATGTGTCTTGGCAGGGAGCTCTGGAGCGTGAGTGCTATGATGCTAAAGGCCTTACTCAGGGCCATCAAGGACTGAAGCTCCAACATCCTGTGCAACCCCAGCCCAGTCTTTCCTGATGAGTGCAGCGGCCAAACGTGAAGATGGAGGGGTCCAGTGAACTCATAAATAACCCAAGCCCCTTCCCCTCTGGGCCATATTTGCAGGATTGTCCAGGCAGCTGGAAGTGTGAGGAGCCCCCTTCCATACTGAAGCTACCACCAAGCTTTAATCTTCCACATTTCTAGAGCTGTGAAGATGCCATGAAGTTTGGCTCTTGGTGCTCTTGACATATGAGCTTCATGCAAGTGTGGCATCATTAGGAGCTTGGTTAAGACCCTCTTAGGAAAAAGCTACATCTGTTGGGCTCATGCTGTATGAGTACAGAGATACACACTTACCAATCTAAGCTGGGCCTGCAAGTCAATGTCTAAGGTTTGCCACTGACGCTTCAAGTCAACGATTTGGTTGTTGCAGTCTTCAACCTCTTTGCTGCTATTACAAACCTCCCGATTCACCTCCTCCATCTGAACAAAACAGCAAACACAGGATTAGGAAGTTACCGGGGGAGGGGGGTGATGCCCTTACAACTACAGCTCTGTGAGGTGGGTTGGGCGGAAGGTCTTTGACTGGCCCAAGGGTTTCTTTCTACTCTGACATAGAGCAATAACTTGCAGTTTGCAATCTACCTTCCTCAGGGTGACATCCTAGGCATGGTTAGACCCCCCAAAAGCCCACATTGGCTGGGGAAGGCTGGGCGTTGTAGGGTATTTTTCCTGTCTGAACCTGCAAAGGATTGCATCCTTGAGGGATCTTTTGTAACCTTTGGTCCAGGGGCCCATGCCTGAGTGCTTTCCTCCTTCTTTGTGCAGTATAACATTCCCTTCACAGCTGCCTTCTGCCCTACATGAACAGGCCAGGAGCCTTCCGAGATTACCAGAGCAAAGCTTTAGGCTCTCCACTGACCTTCACAGGGCTTCCTGCCCAGATGCCGATTCGATACTCAGGATTATTAATGGGAAAGGCATCGGCATGGAGCAGAACCCTTCCTGGCTGGAAGGGGAAGCACACAGAACCCGGGAGGCGCCTGCCCTCTGCAGTGTAACAGGCACAGGAGTTCCCACCGGAAGGAAAGGCCTTCTCCCTGCCTATACTGAACAGATCCACTGGCCGGGTGGTAGCAGCTCCAGCTTGGCAGGCCACAGAGTAAGAGGGTGGAGGGGAGAGAGAGAACAGCGAGAACCCAGGACTTGGCCCAGAGGTGCTGGTGGCAAATTGCAGGTCCATGTGTCCAACTTTGCAGTTCTTTCTTTGAAAGGATGCCTGGTCAAGTCTGGTACAAAGACACAGGACCACTGAGAGGAGAGAGGCGGCCCTGAAGCTGCTTACGAGCGCTTAGCCACTTAGCCTGGGCACGGAGGTCTCCTGATGCCACTTTCCCCACTCCAGAGAATTACCCCCCTGCTGCAGCCTGACAGGCACCGAATCTGTCACCGTCTCAGTGCCAGGTGAAGACTGTCCTCTACTCTGAGGCCTTTAAAGACTTGTTTGGCTACCTGGAGGCTTGAGGAGATTACCAGACCTTGCACAGAGAAATTATTTTGCAATTTTGCCTGTGTCTGCTTTTATTGTCTGTTTTTAGCTGTTTTAAACATCCTTGGTTTTCCCTGATTTCATCCTATTTGTATTGCATTTTTATCAACTGTTTTTATGGACTATTATAAACTGCCCAGAGAGCTTCAGCTGTGGGGCAGTATAGAAATGAAATTAACAACAATAACAAGCACTCATTATAGCAATGACATCTGTTCGTGTTTGTGTATTACACAACTCCACATATCAGTGTCCTCTTTTTTGGCAATGCATAAATAGTCACCGCAGTTGCTACCTTCCATGATATACGCATGAGTAATTTAATTCTCCCCCCGCCCCATGAAGCCTGTTGTGGTTGTGGTTATTCCATACAACCTACCTTGCATGCATACCAGTGCTCAGCTTCTCTGCGGTTGTTCTCGATCATGGCTTCGTATTGACATCTCATTTCATCCAGGATCTTCTTCAGGTCTGGCCCTGGAGAAGAGTTGACTTCCACACTAACATCCCCAGTTGCCTGGTTTTTCAAACTGTTTATCTCCTGCAAAGGAAGCTCCAGTTAATAGGCTGTAACCAGGAGGAAAGGACCTTTTTCAGTGCTGGTTGGTTGAGGCGGTGGGGTGGGGCGGGACCTTTGTCTGTACACCCTTCCCTTTGGAAGGGTCTCTCGGGGGCTGAGGACTCACCTCCTCATGGTTCTTCTTGAGGCAGCATAGCTCTTCCCGGAGGGATTCAAGCTGGGCTTCCAAGTCAGACCTGCAAAGGGTCAGTTGATCCAGGACTTGGCGTAAGCCATTGATGTCAGTTTCCACATTCTGGCAAAAGGCCAGCTCCGTCTCATACCTGCAACACAGCGAGGAAAACCAATACATTGCCAAGGCCACTGGACAACATACATTTCAGGCAACTTTTGCTTTGTGTGCCAAGGCAGATTCCCCTGACTTTTGAGAACTCTACAGTGGACCGGGGTTCACACTGACGGGCCACATGTTTTGGAGTGGAGGAGTCACACGAAATGCTTTTTTGTATACTTTGTGTGGGACTCACTTCAGTCTGAAGTCATCTGCTGTCATCCGGTTATTATCAATGTCCAAAATGAGCTTGCTGTTATCCACAGTGGCACAGATAATCTGCAGGGAGAATATAATGCCACGTGAGCTTTGCCTTCTACTTCCCCTTGAGCTGCAAACCAATATTCAGTTCTTGATTGATTTTTCCAGCTGAACATATATTTGATGTCTTGCAATGCTATCCCCAACCAGATGGATTGTTCTGGATGAACTGGGCACACTTCTGTGAATCTTTGTACCTGCAAAGCTAAACAGTTCCCTCACCCATTCTTTTGGGCCCTGATTCCAGATCTCTTCCAAACCTCATTCCATGTCCATAGCCCTTTCTGCATTACTTTCACCACAGAAAGGCTGCATTTACCACTAAAATTATGTTTCTCATTTAAGAAGATAGTGTTCCTTTTTTAGATTTACTCAAAACCACCCTCTCCTGTTCCAAAAATTCAGTTCCAGGAGAAAGTTTGTGACTGCATCCAGTTCCCCATCCAAGACACGACCACCACCTCCTGGCTTCCCTCTTCCCATTTCCTTTCCCACTCCTGCTCAGATCAAACCAAGGCATCTAGATCAAGGTGTGCGGACCCTGCTGAATTCATCACTCTTATGGAGGTAGGATGGGGCTCCAAGGAGGCCGTATTCATTGTTCATGCAAAGTCAAAAAGTTGTTAGTAAATGCAAAGATCCTCAAATGTGCGTATACACTGAACTGCAGAGTGTAACGTACTTACTGCAACTGTTAATCTGACTCCAGATTAGACAGGAAACATTTTCCTACCTGGTTTTTAAGGTCTTCAATTTGTTGGTAGTAGCAGCCATAATCCTTGGGGCCACAGAATGAGCCTTGTTGGTCATACCACTGCCTAATTTTGCACTCAAGTTCAGTGTTTTCCTCCTCCAGGCACCGCACTTTGTCCAGGTAGGAGGCCAGGCGGTCGTTGAGGTTCTGCATGGTCATCTTCTCATTACAGGAAAGCAGGGGTCCATCACTGCAAATCCCAAAGCCGCCACCAAAGCCTCCACCCACAAAGCAGGCACTGCCACCGCCAACCCCTCCGCTGGGAGCATACCCAAAGCCGCCCCCAACAGCCCTTCCCCCAAAGCCGCCATCAGTGCAGCTTGCCCCAGCCAGGCCCCCACGGTAAACTGTGCCTCCACAGTAGCTCCTCTGAGACATGCTGCAGCTCCCGCTGCCCAGGGCTGGAGAGACGGCTGGACGACCCCTCATTCCGCCACCCCCAGCAATGCAGCTGCTGCTGCTGCTTCTCCCTTTGGTATACACCTTCGTGGTACATGTTTGCTTAGAGCTGCAACTCATTGCGAAAGAGCTTCAGAAGCAAGACCAAACACCAAGCAAAAGTGGAAGGCAAACACCTTGAGCCAAAAACAAAAAACAGACTGCAAATGTTGGCACTCACACAGGTCTCTATTTATACCTTCTGCTCTCTGGGAGTTGCCCTGAGAGTCTTCTTTTTTTCCTTCAGCCATTGTAAGCAGGTTCATCTTGCTGGGTCTGCCAAGAAAAAAATTGTCCCCAAGGCATACATGCCTCTGAGAATCTCTGTTACGCAAGGAAGGCATTTTACCACATCAGTCCCTTTCTTTCAGAAATACCAGGAGCAACAGTGTCATGTGAACCATGGGCTTTGCTGCTTATTGACAACTTTGCAAGACAGCTTTGCAAAGCCACATTGTCCCAAAATATAAATAGACAAGGAGCAATTGCAGCTTGCTGCAACAGTATGTTATCCCTCCATCACTAGACATATTTTATTTTGTTTTTATTTTGACTTTAACAAGCATGAGCCTATTCTGTTCCCCTTGTCACAGTCAGAACAGTGCTAGGAAAAGTCACTTTGGTTAGGAGCAAAAGGCTGACCGAGGCATCCAGGCTCATTTTTCATTCCTGCTTATTTTAGGTCCTTGGCACTGTTGTTGTTGTTTGGTTGCAAAGTCGTGCCAGACCCATCACAACCCCATGGACAACATTCCTCCAGGCTCTCCTGTCCTCCACCATCCCTCGGAATCCACCCAAGCTCTCACCCACTGCCTTGGTAACTCCATCCAGCCACCTCATCCTCTACCGTCCCCTTCTCCTTTTGCTGTCAGCTATTCCCAGCATCAGGGTCTTCTCCAATAAGTTGTTCCTTCTTATTAGGTGGCCAAAGTATTTGAGTTTCATCTTCAGTATCTGTTTCATCTTCAGTATCTGCCTTGGCACTGGCAGGGTACCAAATCAAACCCTGAATAAGGCCAGAAACTTTCAGATACTGATCCCCAGGAAAATGGCCAAGCCAACACATCTCACAAAAGGGAAGCAAGAAGAGGCTTTTGGCAGGCTGGCCAAGGCTGTTGCAAAGGAACCTTTTACTGGACCTTCTAGAGAAACCTCTGCCTTTTGATTTTTGCCTGCTCTCAGCTCTTGTTCCCTTTTTCGTAGCCATGGCCACCCAACGGCATCCTGCCTACCTGTTTGCTAACTGCCCCAGTATACCTGACCCCGATCCTGTCTGTATGCCTGCTTACTAAGCCTAGCCTGCGAAGACTCCCCATAAGCAAGGCTTGCTGTTGCTACTCTTGATGCAAAGACAGAAGAACTAAACATGCAGGTGGCTACTATGTGGCCTCTCATGCAGATCCTGAGAGCTGTTGCATCACCAAACCCCAAGCCCTCTAAGTCCTCACTGTTTTAAAAGCAAGTCTCTAGTCCTCATTGTTTTTGAGTAGAACTGTGAGTATTTAGTCTGCTCCTGCCACAGGTGCTAACCTTATACTGCAGGAGGCAATTTTGATTTTTAATTAGGAATATCTGGATTTCCTGGATGAAGAACCCAAGACTCAAAAGCTTCATTTCGATTTATATTGGAAGCATTATTCATTTTATGGCAGCTTTGTGAAGAATACTCCAGATTCTCTCAATATTCCAATTTGGGTTTCAGCTTTCAGCCTTTTAAAAAGCCCAAATTATGATATGGCAAATTCTTACACTTCTTCAGGCAATAATGCCAATACATCCAATTTTAATTTATGTTTCTGTAATTACTAGATTTCAAGACCACCCAATAGCTGAAACTGTCTGGGCAGTTTGCCATATTAATTAGCATTAATGTGCATCCCCAGATACAACCTGGCCAGAAAAAGCAAAGCATCGATTATCCTAATTTTCTTTGCCACTTTTCTAAATGGCACAAACCAAGTCAAGTAGCTTGTTTTCATTGCTGCCTATTTTCTCATTATCCATTTTCAGGCTATAAAGGAAGGGGGCGAAGGGAGGGGATACTTAGAACAGATGGATGGAGTGCTTGGAAATGGATTAATTTCCCACAGGCTTGGAAATGCTTCCTACAATAAAAGGAGGTAGATGCGGTTAGTCTCCATTTTCTTTTCATAACATGAAGCTTTCCGGAACCAAGTTTGACTTAACAGATGGGTAGAATCCTTATTTCTCACAGAACAGCCCAATAGGAATTAAGCAATTACTGTGTTGTGGCTTAAAATCATTCCCTGGGGGCAACTGAGCAAAAATGTCTCTGTCTCTAAAAAATAAAAATAAACAAAAACCTCTGCCATCTCCTCTTATCATGGTAAGACTCTCACCCCAGCAATCTTTCCTTTTTCTGAGACCTGTTTAGTATCACTCCACTCCCTGAATTGCCAGGAAAGTATCTAGTAAAAATCGGCCCAGCATTAGTTATGATCCTGCCTAGGAAGGAAAAGCTTTAAGATGCCATATTCCCATAAATGATTATGTCAAGTAAATTTTTTCACCTTTCATGGGGACAAATGCAGGTGCCTAGGAATTTGTCAGGGAAGGTTTTTTTTTTTTTGGCTTTTGTTTTGTTAATTTCACTTTTTCACTCTCTGCCGTAATCCTGGCAAAAATCTCCACTCCGAAGCGTCTCCTTGCATTTCAAGGTCCCACTGACACCAGTGGAGCAAGGAGAAAAAGACTTAAATTCTCCTTTGCATCCTGCATGGTCCCAATACTGCTTAAATCTCCTAATCCTCACAGCAGCTCTTTACATAACAAACAATGTATGTAAATTGTATGCATGCAATTAATGTCACACCTACTTTGGCACCTTATTCACCCATATATGGGGGTATTTTCAAACATCATATGCCTGCATCTAAAAGTGTGATGAGTTGGATCCATATTTAAGCTTGGTTGATTTCCGTGAGTCAGCTCTAAGCATGACACTGAAAGATGTGGCCCAATTCATCAGTTAAAAGTTACGAGAAGGAAGGCCTGCACTCAGCCTCAGGGGGCAGGACGAGGGCAATATCTCAGAAGCTCACGGGACTGGATTCCACTGATGTGGCAACCTGGCATATAATGCTGAAGGAAAAGGCAAAGTGGCACTTCTTTGCTTTAAAGTATGGCAAGTTTGTTTTCCCAAATGCACAAAGAGACACTTTTAGTTTCACTGGCAGGAAACTGCTATTAGCAGTAATTGCCTTTTGAATTGGGTCTAATTCTCTGACAAAGCCCTTTAGGGGATCTTGCTTGTGCTGAACTGTCTTGTATAAATGCTCTGTTATTATGTACCAGGAGGGAAAGACAACCTAATGATCGGTCGTGGCAAAAGGAAGCAGGTGGCTGTGATTATTAGAAGCTGTCAAGAAGAAATCCTGCCAGAATAATCTGATGGCTGATCCACAAGAAAGGGAAGAAAGACAAACCGGGGAACTGCAGACCAGTTAGTCTAACTCCAATCCTGGGAAAGTACGGGAGCAAATCATTGAAAAAGCAATCTGTACACACCTTGGAGAAAATGTAGTGATCAGCAGAAGCTAACACAGATTTCTTCAGAATAATTAATACCAAACCATCCTAATCTCATTCTTCAACCGGGTTACCACCCAAATGGACAGCGAGAATGCGGTACACATTATTTACCTAAACTTTAGCAAAGCCTTTATTTGTTTATTTATTTGGAGTGCTTGTATGCTTTGTATGACAAAGTGCTTTGTATGACAAAAAGTGCCACAAGACATCCTAATTAATAAAATAGCAAAATGTGGGCTTGACAGAATTGCTACTAGCTGAATCCACAACTGGCTTCAAAATAGGTCAGAGAGTGACCATCAATGGTAGTTCTCAACCTGGAGAGAAGTCATTAGTGGGGTACCACAGGGCTCAGTCCTAGGAGTGGTACTCTTCAACATCTTTATTAATGATCTTGATAAGGAAATCCAGGGAAAGATAATTATGTTTGCAGATGATACTTAACTAGGAGGAATAGCCAACACCTTGGAAGAAGTTCCAGAGAGGCCTAGACAAGCTTGAAAGCTGGACAGAAAGCAACAAAATGAAATTCAACAGGGGGAAATTTCAAGTTCTCCACCTAGGCAAAAAATAAAAAATCAACTACATCGATACAAGATGGGGAATACTTGACTCAATAACACTGAAAAACTAAAATATCTTGGAGTTTTTGTAGACAACAAGTTAAATATGAGCCAGCAATGTGATGCAGCTGCAAACAAAAAGGCAAATACTACATTGGGATACATAAATAGAGGTATCACTTCCAGTTATAGAGAAGTACTCATTCCCCTCTACTCTGCATTAGTCAGACCTCACCTGGAGTACAGCATTCAGTTTTTAAAAGATGCTGATAATTTGGAGGAGATTGAAAGAAGGCAACAAAGATGATACAGGGCCTGGAAAGTAATATGAAGAGAGGATAAAAGAACTGGGCCTGTTCAGCCTTGAGAAAAGTTGACTACAAGGTAATATGATCAGACTCTACACGTACCTCAAAGGCTGTCACAAAGAAGAAGGAAAAAATCTATTCTCATTCATCCCAGATCGTAGGACCCCAGACAATGAACTTAGGTTACAGTACTCCAGGTGCAGGCTACACTCAAGGAAGAATTTCTGAACTGTGAGAGCAGTACGACAGTGGAACCAGCTACTAGATGAATTCAAGAAGCAATTGGACACTTGTCTGATCGGGATGGTGTAACACAGGGGTCTCAAACTCGCGGCCCGCAGGCCAATTGCCGGGATGGACAGGGCACGGGGGAGGGGCCCTGCAGCCTTGGAAGCACTGGCGGCGTCCGGGCCGGCCTCCGGGAGCGACGCGGGATGAGCAGCCCACCGCCACCGCGGGGGTGGAATACTTGATGCGGCCCAGCCTCACCCAGACTCTACTTCCAGCGGCCCCCAGGTTAGTTGAGTTTGAGACCCCTGGTGTAACAGATGTCCTGCACTAGCAGGAGGTTGGACTCAGTGACCTTCCTGGCTCCTTCTGACTGGCTGTTCTGTGAATCTATGATTGAATCTGGTGGACTGCAGATCTGGTGGACTGT